GATAGAGCATTTGATATGTGAGGTTAACATCTTTATTATTTCATTGTATTCTTGAGTCTTAGTTCCACTCTCTAAAACTTTTTCTAATTACTTTCCATCACTAAATCAGTTATATGACAAGCTCCTTTCCTAGGCAAAAATTGAGAAATCAAATATTAAATGCCTGATTTCATTTGGCAGAAGGTCTGACCAACAGAATTCTGTACAAGTTTTGAGAAACTGGAACATCTCTCATGTGTATATTAAAGCAAACAGCAGGGATATTACTTTTCAAATTGATAAACAACACATAACATGAAACTTCTATAATTAGAAGGCTTATCAACCGCAATTTAAAATTTAACTGTAAAATAGATTTACAATGTACTTTAGTATTATTTATAAGCAATCCTTAAACTTGATGATAGCATATATGTATTAAAGACATAATGATACTTCTAAGAGTACTTGGTTATTTTGATGCTTAACTGTCACCTCACTCCATGTGTAACTACTGATAACTATAAACAATTAGGATTTAGGCTGTCAGTAATATCTACATGAAATTGTAGAGTGGAGTTAATCATAATTTCTAACATTTATTGAGTACTTACTATATGCCATGCCTTTTATTAAGTCTTCAGCATACATTATCTTATTTAATTCTCACAACAACTCTTAGAGAAATGTATTGCTCTTACTGGCTTTTTAAAGATGAAAACCTGGACCTTTAAAAGGTCATGTAATTTGCTCACGATTCTGGGTAGTCAAGTGGGTAGTCAAGTGATGGGCCAGATATTGAATCTAAGCTATCTGTGTCTACATCCTGAGCTCCCAACTATAAGACCAGGAGAAAAGTTTGGTCCCAATTCTCTCTCCTTCCTTTACCTTTCATTTCCTCCATAAGTCAAAACTAGCTCATCAAAATAATAGATTTGAAAGCTAATTCGAATTTGGGGGAAAAAGACAAAGGGAAATAAAGTAAACAGTACAAGTGCTCTTAACTGAAATCCTAGTTAATGTCCTCACTAGATTAGTCAACTCTCCATCCCCTGCGGAAGCAAGACTGGCACAACTTTCTCTCCAACATCTTCATACTTTTGATTAATCAGCCTTTAAATAACCTACCAACTACAGGTCCCAATCGCATCAGATGAGAGGGTCACACTGTAGCCATGTTTTTCCAGGCCTGTTAAATGACACTATAAGATTTATGACATCTTTTTAAAAGGAAGAGAACTTTGAAAAAAAAAAAAAAAGAATGCAGAAGAATAAAAAGGGAGCAATTTGTCTTTCAGGCCATATATCTAGTAAATGCAGTCGGTTGAAAAATATATCTCTAATACAAGGAAATCAGTGAATGACATTATTGGAACGAATTGAACTTACTATAAAATACAAACCCATTTCCTATGGAAAATGCAATAATTTATTTCTTTAGGACAATGTTCCAGTAAAAAATGCCATTGAACTGGATGCTTTGCCCTGACTGGATGCATACTCTATTCAACAGAATATATACAGGCAAAGGGGAAGCATGCCATCTAGAAAAAATTTCCTTTTATTTCCTCTTCTAAGTAGAACAATTCTTCTTTAGTGAACGAATTGGGGTCTTATAACAATCTACTACATAACATGTTACATTCCGACAGACAGTAAAAATAGAAACCATGAGAGTCAATGAGGATGGTCCGATTATTCACAGAAAGGCAAGGGTTTCTATGGTGGATGCCTTACATGGGTTTTACATCCAGCATGAAGATCAGTAGCTTGGAATCCAGATCTCCCCCAAATGAGCAAGAATCCGTTGAGAAAACAAAAAACAAAAACAAAAACAAAAACATGTAGATCCTTCAATTAATCCATATTTTTTTCAGCATGGCTGAAACATCAGCTGTAGAAGGATGAGTGGTGAGAAATAAAGCCATAAAGATAGGTGGATGTAAACTGTAGGGATTTCAAAGTGCTAAGACAGGTTTTAATTAATTCAGTGGCCAGCTGAGAAATCATAGAAAGTTTCTGAGAAGAGCAATGACATGACTCTAATCTAGGGAGGTGAATGAGCAAACGTTGTTGGCTAACCCAAAGGTAGAAAAGATGAAAGGTAGAAAGACCAATTAAAAGGTAATATATGGAAACAACGTAAGTAGCTATCTATGGATGAATGCATAAGGGGAGATGTGGTACACAAATATACACCACACACACACAATGGAGTACTACGCATCACATACACACACACACACACAATGGAGTATTACGCAGCTGTGAGAAAGAAAGAAATCCTGCCATTTGCATGGATGGACCTTGAAGGCATTATGCTAATTGAAATAAGCCAGACAGAGAAAGACAAATGCTGTATGATCTCACTTGTAGGTGGAATCTATAAAAGCTAAACTTCTGGAAATGAAGAGTAGAATTGTGGTTGCCAGGGCCTGGGGCATGAGGAAAATGAGGAAACGTAGGTCAGAAGGTGCAACTTTCCAGTTATAGGAGAGGTTCTGGAGATCCAGCGCAGTGATCATAGTTAACAACCCTGCGTTGTACACTTGAAAGTTGCTAAGAGAGTAGACCTTAAATGTTCTCACCACAAAAAAAAAAAAAAAGAAAGAAAGAAATGGTAATTATGTGAGGTGATAGAAGTGTTAACTGATGCTACTACGGAAATTATTTTGCAGTATGTGTATATAGATATCGAATTAACATGTTGTATTCCTTAAATGTACACTATGTTATATGTCAATTATATCTCAATAAAACTGGAGTGGGGAGGAAGGCCATGCTTGATGGAAGCTGTTATAGTTAATTAACTTTCATTGTATTTGCTTACGATTTGCTTTGTTTCATTTTAGCAAAATTAATCTCATGACTTCAAAGAACTTATCTATTTTCTATTATGTTGCCTATTAGAAAGCTTATACAGGTCTTTCTTATTGATTAGTTCAATGGTATAGGATATTCTTTCAAAGTTCTGATGCTTAGAAAATGGTAGACTTATATTTGATATGTATGCTAATACCAACTTAGTCAACGGAGTATAATGCAAGTAGCACTTTTTGACTTCTGAGACTAAGTCAAAATAGGCCTTTCAGTTTCCTTCTCCAAAACACTCTCTCCAGGAGCCTTAAGTGCATGTCAGAAGACTGACGACCGATACCCTGAAAACAACAAGTTAGAAAAGCCATGTGTGTGGGTGCTCCTGTCACTCCCAAGTGTACCCAGACTTCAAGCCAATCCTGCAAAAGCAGCAGATCTGTAAGCAAAAGTGTCTCTATATTCTAGACCCCACGCACTAGAGTCACCTCCTGGTGCTTGAGTCCTCCCAGCTCAGGCCCCAGACAACCCTGAAGCAGAGACGAGGCTTTCTTCCATGCTCTGTTCATATTCTTGACCCAAAGAATCAATGAGCATAATAAAATGGCTTTTTCTTTACATTATTAAGTTTTGGGGTAGTTGATTAAGCAGTAATAGGTAACTGGAACCACATGTACGGAGAGGTGATAAACCCACTGGTTGTGGAACTCACACCAAGAATATGATACTTAATTCTGGGTGACATATTTTAAAAGACTAAAACACAAACATGCTCAGAATGTTCCATTATAGAGAAAAAAAAAATGAAAAGATTGGACTTATTCAAATTAGAAAAGAGAACAAAGGCTATATGCTAATTGTCTGCACATATTTGAAGGACTACCATGAGTAAAAACAAAAACAATTACTCTGCATATTGCCAGGAGAGAGGCCTAGGGACAGTAAGTACAAGCTACTGGGAGTCAGATGGAAGAATTTTCTAATGTTCAGAGCTTTCCGGGAAGGAAGAGGCGGCCTTAATAGGTAGCGAGTTCCCTAACATTTGAGGTAATCAAGCACAGTCTAGACGACATGACCTGGTGGGTAGGTTTGGAAATAATTCATTTAATGACCAGAAGGTCTAATACAATGCTCTTACTTTAATATCACCCCCATTTCCTTGTGCTAAGAAATCTAATCCCAACACATGTTGACCAGAGGGGGAAAAAAAAAACAAGATGAATAAATTAAATGAAAGGCAATACCCAAGTATAAATAGAAAGCGATGCAGAACTTTAGAGAACAACGGAATGGCAAACTAACAGGAAAATATAATCCATCATAGCAGCAAAGAAACTTTTAAAAAAGATGAAGCATGAAGAATAAACCAAGGAAGAGAGAAAATAAAAAGCTAAAGATCCCATCCCAGAAGATACTGGGTGTAGAGGATGCCTTCCTCTTTCTTGGGAAGTGGTTTTATTCATCTTTAAGACTCTTCTGCTCTGTCAGTGAGAAAGGCAGACAGGAAGAACATGGCAGTGCAGCAGCAAAGGGAACAAGGTTCAAGTGATTAAATTAGTGTAGCGAATCTCTTCAGTGATCGCTGAATCTCTGGCTTTCAAACAGAGGCCAGAAATTGTGTGCCCATAGGGTCAAACACACTTGCATGGAAGCCACTGACAATAACGTCAGGCTCTCAGAATGACAACTAAGAGAAGCAAGAAAAACTAGAAATTAAAACCCCGTTTCCTGAGAAAGCCAATATGAAAAGGAAAACACAAACCACCTAGAAAATGAGATGTGTCCAGAGCAATGCCATGGAGGAAACAAAAAAAAGGAAAAAAAGAAAAAGAAAGAAAATGTTAGAGTTATTTCAAACACATTTCATCTGAACTTTATCACCATTTGTAATCAACTTCCAAGGTTTCATAATACCCTTTAACCTTAGTTACGCAACACACTGAACAAGTCATCTCATTGTGGTGACTCTTTTCATGTTGATAAGAGATAGAAAAAGGAGTCACTCCCAGGAAAGAAAACTGTTCTGAGTAAACTCCTGAGGCCTAATGGTAAGGAGAAGTGATAATCTTTCACTCGCCTTAACCCTTTCAGAGATTCATCAAACCAGAAGTTAGAAACTCATGTCATTGACAAAATAAAGGTAAATTTCAATAAACAGAAACTTTTCATGAGAAAAAAAAGAACAGAAATTATATCTTATTACTCACCCATTTCCTAGGTCGGCCTCTTGGCCGTTTTTCTCCAGTGGCTTCTGCTTTCTGTAAAATGAAAAAGGAAGTCATATGGTTTCCTACCTGACATTATTTAAAAGTGCTGCACTAGGGACACATTTCAAGTAAGCATGTCCTGGTTTGCAGAGGTGTTATTGAGGGGGATTTAACAATCTCCTTCTCCTTTAAGATTTATCTTCTCCATTTCTGAGTAGATTCTTCTTCTTTTTCATTGTGTGATATAAAGAGTGATTTAAAGACTCCCCTGGAGTGATTTTTCTCTTACTTCTATCCATAATAATAATAAAAAAAAAAATTATTCCCACTTATCCATAATCACATAAAGTAGTATTTTAGAAAATGAGTATTTGTTAAATGATTCTCTTTCTATATCATTGCTAAAGTTAAAAAAATTAATATTGGTATACTGCTTTACAATTTATACTACCTACATTGCTAGTCAAAAGCAAGTCTAAATGTAAGAATAGGAGTCTAGCTCAAGAAAAATTCATACTTCTACATAATTTCCTACTCCTTGTCAAAAACACTTATCAATCAGTTCACCTAAATCAGAGAGAGAAAAAAGTGGACGAAATCATCAATTTTTGTCCCCAAAATAGAAACTATGATGTTAAAAATAAAAATAATAATTAATAAAAACAGTACAGTATTAACAGTAATTCCACACTCAGAACAGACCTGACATGATATATTTCTAACTACCTTGAGTTTGTTTTACTGCTATACTTCACAAAAGATTTTTCTGATATCACAGATTTTTTTCCCTTTTGAATCAAAATTTAACATTATCTATTAAGTAATTTCCCTGTTTATCATCCCTACTCCAATCCCCAAATACACCAACACACCAACACACACACATACACCCCCCCCCCCCACATACAACTTTTATAAAAACATGATTATACTTTTCAGGCTAAAGAAAACTTAAGTATATACTCTTCCATGTATGAGAAGCATCCCAAGGCTATATAAACACAAAAATATATGTAACGTGAGCCACGATAACTTGTTTTGCATTTTACTTTTGTTACCTGGGGTAGCAGCCAATAGGTACTTGATACAATGATACTAACATTACCTTTTATAACTGTCTACATTGCCAAATGAGGCTTTCCTCTTTCTCTCTTCAATCTGCCTGGTAAAAGTAAATGGAGATAGATGATGACAATGACAAAGATTAGATGATAGATAGATGATGGATAGATGATAGACAGACAGACAGATAGATAGATAGATAAAAGACATAGACAGAGAGGCAAAATAAGCCACAAGATTTCTCACCAAATGATATCTTTCTGGCCTGGCATTACTATCCAACAGGTCCCATGAATTAACCCAAACTCTTAAAATTGTGCTAGTTCACATTTATTGAATATTTAAAATGCCCCAGGCACTGGGTTAAGTCACTTACATGTGTTATTCTAATCTTTACAAGAGCCTAACAAGGTAGGTATTATTATCTCTCTCATTTTGCAAAGGAACAACTAAGCCTTAACTTGGTGAGGAAAATAACTCAAGGTCATACACAAAGCTGGTAAATGGCAGACCTGACCTGTGAACCCAGTTCCACTGGGCTGTAACAACTGGGCTCCTCCCCTCCTAACAGTGCTACTTTTCCTCAGTGTACACACATTTGCTGCCATAAGGCAATATTTCAGTTATTTTAAGTAAGATTGTCGCTGATGCAGCTGATTTCCCAGAACGCAGAAAACCTGGTGGGGCCTCTTTCTCTAGCTAACTGCCGACTGGGCAGTCTGAATAGTAGTTTACTATTTTTCAGTGACTCCACAAAGGAATCATTTATTGTCAGAGGTCAGTGGTACTGTCTTAACTTCAGTCATAAGGGCATGAATTAAATT